AACAAATTAGGTGATTTTGATATAGGCTAGTAGTAGCCTCTCATTGACTAAGAGCTAGAAATTTGTATATACAAATTTAAACTCTTATGAGAGAAATAGTTGCTGCAGCAAATCATACTTAGGTACTGAAAAGTAACTGAGTGAGTTCTGATTAGTTTTAGAAAAGTAGTTTGCTATAAATAGTATAGTATTATACTTGTAGCTTAAATTAGCTTACTTTTAATAAAATAATAGGCAAGATTACCTAAGTATAAAAAAAAAAAAAAAGTAAATTTAAACTATATTAAAAAAAAATAATCTTACATCATTATATCTAAAATCTAAAATTTTAATAATTAATAATTAAAACTTTTTTGAAATAAATAGTAATAATTTTATATAAGTTTTTATTTTTTTATATAATTTTTTATTAAAAAAGAATTTTAAGATTTAGTAAATATTGCTTTTATTTTTTTTTAATTCTTAAAGGTAGCTTATATTGCTAAAAGAATTTTATTAGTATTGCAAACAGGATTATATATAGACTAGATGCTACAAAAAGAGACCAAATTGATAATTTTTTTAAAATCTTTTTTTTGAGTCTAACTAATTTAAAATTAGCTCAGGAATATTTTTTACTTAAGAAACAAATACTGTTATCTTAATAAAATTTTGCTATATAACTCTTTAAAGTTTGTATTTTCTTATGATTTATTATAAGATTTATAACATAAAAATTGATTTTCTGAGTCTGGTGATCTTAGTGTAGTGGTTAAATTGCTAGACCGCTATGCAAGAAGTCTGGGGTTCAAATCCTACTATTGACAAATTTGAATAATTACCCAGACCTTTGTACCTAACTTACAGTAAACTCTGTCTGTTTCTGAGGTTGTAACCCTGTAAATAATATTATACCAATATCATCCGGATATTGAAAGTATGACAAGGCATTTGGTGAGACGTAACATTATATTAGAGATCTCAGTTTTATGCGATATAATGCGATACATATAATAGGCCAATTTTTAGCATAATGGATGCCAAGCATAATTTGACTAGAAATCATATAATCATAATTAGTGCCTACTGATTGGTTAATTTTTATAGTAAAAAATCAAATTAGCAAATTTTTTTATTAAATTTAATTAATTATGATAACTGCTACAGAATGTTAGCAAAATAACCTTAAGTATAAATTAGATTTTATGTTAGTGGTAGAAAACTTTTTAGTGAAGTATGTTAAGCTATAATAAACTATGAAAAAAAGTTTATACTGTAATTGATAATTATTTAATATCAGATACATAGTATACGTATGTTTAATTCAAACAAACCTTGTACAATAGTGACATATGAAATCTGTGATATAATTTAATTAATTCTGTTTTTAATAATAATAAATTATGTGATTAATTGTGATTAACTGATGATTAAAATTAAAGTACCGATTTAATAACATATCTAAAATTTTATCTCGTAAAAAACAAAAACCTTATGCTTTTTAAAAAAGTGAGTTGCACTAGATTTTTTTTTTTCAAGAAATGTAAAATTTTTTAAACTAATGCTATTAAAATATAAGATTTTATTATATTTTTTACATCACTAAACAAAATATAATAATAATTTTATTAAATTTGACATACTATTATCGATATAGCTACTAAGAGCAATTGAAACAAATCATATATTTTCTGTGATTTACTGTGATTTATTTCGATCACCAAATCACAAAAATTTGCATGTCCCTGCTGTACAATTAATAAAACTATAGACTCTGTAGAAGAATTATAGTTATATTTTATTTAGTGCAAGAAAAATTGAAATTTTATCAAATTTATCTAAATTAGCATTAATTTATATTTGGTTATCTATTTTGGGTGTAGATGTAGAGCGTAGTTTATCTACATATAATAGAATTTTAGTGGATAACAGACAGAATTTGTCTGAAAATTTGATTAACATATTGAATTTTTTAAATTACAATAAATAAATAAAATTTATTATTTGTTTAAAAAAAATCATATAATTTTACTACAGTGTAGGCATCTTTAAATTAGCAAGTCCTATTATAAGCAGCCAAATTTTGCTCAAGATATAAGCCAGACCAAAATTAAGTCAGAGCCAATTAAATTACAGCAAATCAATAATAAAAATTTAAAAAAAAAGTATACCTAACATTCGGATATAACACAACTATAGATAGTTAATAAATTATTAAATTATATTGAATATTATATAGACAATAAAATAATTAAAATTAGAAATCACAATAAGTTTCATATTTGTATCCAGTTTATATCATGACTATAATAGTAATAGTGCACAACCTAATGATTATATTTACATAAAATTTTTGTTCGAATACATATGCAAATTATGATATAATTAAAATCTTAAGCAATATGATTATTGCAGTTTGCAAAATTTTGTGACCTCTATGATTAATTTTTTTATGATTAAATAATTGTGATTGCGATTACAATTGCTAAAGCTAGCTAATTCATCATATATCGGAACTTAACGTATACACAGATTCATAATAAATTGGCTTGCTTTAGAAATTGCTATCGCAATTACAATCATTTAATCATAAAAAAAATATTATAGGAGTTACAAAATTATATAAACCGCAATAATGAATAATCTTAATGATGCTTATTTATATAATCAATAAATTAAATAAATATTATAATCGATACTTTCAAATATTACTATCAATTTTTTGGTAATACAAAAAATACAATTTGATTTCAACATACAATATATATACTAAAGTTATCTATCTCCCTTTAACTAATATGCTGCTAGCAAAATTTTAAAATAAAATTATTGAAATCAAAATTTGACAATAAATGAATATTTTATTTTTATTTTATTTAACTCCAATTCTCGACATTCTATCATATCTTTAATTTTTGTAACAAATAAATGCTTTAAATTTTTTTTAACACGATCTAAATTAAAAGCTTAATTTATTAAATAGTAAAAAATTATAAATACAAAATCATTAATAATACTAAAACTTTTGCTCACCTGTTTTGCTTATATGTTATTCATTCACTACATCAATTTCATTTAAAATCGTATCTGAAATACAGCGATGCGAACAATATTTTTTTATAGCATATTCTGCAACTTTTCCAGTCAAGCCTTTGCGATATATATCTATAAATCTAAAAGCCTTCTGAGTATATTGTCTAATTTTAGTAAGAGATACTGATTCAAGAGCTTGTGGTACAGTTTTTTTCAAACCTTCCCAAGTATAGTTACAATAACATCATGTATATCACTTCGCTGACCCCCAAAAGTTTTCTATGTAATTTAACTCACAATGGAATTTTGGATAAAAAATAACTTCATGACCTGCTAAAATAATTGCTTCTTCAAGTTTTTTACGTTGTGCTCTAAAATCAGGTTGATTCACCATTGTAGTTCTAGCACAACAGTTAATTCTTCCTTCTTCACAACCTCCCTTATATATCAACTTCATCCTATCATACCACAATTCTCGTTCACTCAAAACTTGCTTCAAGCCTTTTGGCTTACCACACAAATTAGGATCATCATAATCTTCAGGAAAACACATCTTTTGCGGAATATTGTCTCCATACATGGTACTTCTAAAAATTTAAACAATTAAATATTAATATATAAAGAATTTAAAAAATTTAAAATAATCTACAAACCTCATTTTTGGCTGTTTGCTACTGGGAGATAAATTTATATTTTTTGTCACAAGGGTATCTTTGGAATATGCACAATATCCAGTTGCATTGTCAAATGCAAAAAGGGCTTTTGTACTTGGAAACCGAGCTTCAAATATTGGAATTACTCAATTTACAACTTGGTTCACAAGATCATCAGAATCCCATCACTTATCACCATTTTTACCTGAGTAGGTTATAATACAAGCTTCTGATAGCAGGTTAGGAAAAGTGATCTAAAAATAGATTTTAGAGTTTTTAATTATAAGGAAAAAGTAAATTAAAATAAAATCTAAAAGTTGTGCATTTACCTTGTCTTCTTCACATAATACTAAACGTCTACTAACATCAGTAAGAAATTCACTAACATGAACTGACCGCTCTTGGCCTTTTTTATGAAGTGGTTGCTTCCCTTTTGGTATCCATAACTAATATCTTCTGTCATATGCTGAGAAGATACACTCATTGTGTATTACTAAAATTACAATATCTTGAAAAGCTAGTTGAGTTTCTTCTTCTATATTTTTAGCAAAAAAAACTATCATATGTGTTTCATATTCAGCCATTCGTTCTAAGAACCTTTCATGATAAGCTACTACATCTGCACACTCATACCTATCTATATACATTCCTTTTCTAACTTCTGAATATTCAAACCCAAATGCTTCCAACCAATTTCTAGCTATTCTTATATATATTATTAGTAATAGATCAAAGCAAAGGTTTGAAAATATTTTTTCATTTACATGATTTGCTAGTTCATTTGTATTAACACACCATTTGTTTGATCAGAGAAAAGACTTAATCTGTATCAAAATATCATCATCCCACAAAAAACTTCAGGTTTTTGAATGTTTTTCTTGTTTTGAAATCAGAATTGCACCATTCTGAATATAAGTTGTTGCCTATGCACGTATGCAATAGGCATGATAAACACCCTTCTCAGCTGCTTCTGCTACAATAGTACTTGCTTCAACTCTCTTTCGGCCACATTTCACAAAACGCAAATAAGATAACATTGTATAAAGGCGAGCTTTCTCGATCTTACTATACTCATCACTTTTGAATTCATTTTCTAATTGTTTGATTATATTGTTTAAGTTTTTAGAAGATATTAAATTGTAGTCTCTAACAATCTCAACTTCAAAATTATCACTATCTAAACTAGTTAGTTCATCATTCATACTTGTATTATCACTATCATTCACACTTGTACATGCATTCGCTATCTATTCAAAAAAAAGATAATTCAAATAAATATTTTTCATATTACTATAAAGTACAAGTCATTTGAAAAATAGCTTACTGATGACCAAAATGATTCTAGCTTGGGTATTCCAACTGCAGCTTTCCATTGTAATTGTTTTCGACGCCTTTTTGCTCTTACTGAATTTCTAATATACATGAGCAGCTGATGATTAGTCACTTCTGAAACTGCTTGCAACAATCTTGTAATAACATTATTCGCTTCTTCAGTTCTTAAAACACTTATTTCTGTATCACTACTCTCAATATCATTAAGTTCATCATCACTAATGCTACGAGTATCCTCAATGTTATTAAATTCATCACCAATAGTGCTAAGAGTTTTTAAAACTTTTATCCGGTGCTAATTCTTAAATTGTTTTTATATTATAATCTCTTGTAACTGAGCTTTCCTTTTAGATAATCATATTATTTTTTAATAATGGGGCTTTGCAAAGCTGATTAATGATTGCTAGGTCCTAAATACCAGCTTTTATGTAAGTACTTTATATTTTATCTTAAATTGATTATATTTTATTTTTATTTTACTTACTTTCTTTCTTTTATCGAACTTCTTCTGATACAACTGCAAAATGAGAAAGTAAGACTTAACCTGTCTTCATAGATTTATCTTCTTTAAATATAATATTTTTATTATATCATTCTTACAAAATAACATGTGAATCTATTTGATCATGTGATAGAGACAATTCTTTATAGAGGCTTTGAAGGTACCAACATCCTAATTTAAATATTCATACTGTGCTATTTTCAGATAAGTATAGCTAATTCCATGTAACATCATATATTCGACTATATTTTTTTTTCCCCTACTTCCCACCCTATTACACGCTAATTCAATATTATTCTTTATTTGATATCAAATATGTTAGTAAGTAGGCTTTTACCCACGCAGACTCTAGCTTTAACTTTTCTTAATCGTAATATCATATATTCAGCTATTTTTTTTTTCTCTACTGCCCACTCTATTACACGCTAATTCAATATTTGATTTCAAACTAGTTAGTAAGTGGGCTTTTTACCTACACAAACTCTAGCTTAATCATTCATTTTACCCTCAATCACATACAACATTATTACGACATCAATGATACCTTTTTAATTTCTCTGATTTTATTTATTTAGAATTGTGGAAAAGAAAATATAAATTTACTGATCAATTTATATAACACTTACTACTAACTATGATTACATATTTAATGCATTATTACAAATTCAGTTATAAGATTATGCATAGACTATCATAAACTTTGTGATAAGGTTTTTTGATCTAACCAATATAGGCTTATAACAAACTAACCAATCATATTAAACTAACTAATCATATTAAACTACCTTAGAGATGTGATCTGTTTGCCGATCCTAACAGTTTTCAGCTCAAGTTTAGTGTAATGTAGGCTGAAAACTGTTAGGATCAGCAAACAGATCGCATCTCTAAACTACTTTAACAGTTTTTTCTTATATATTCTAGCCAATAGGAGACTTTGTTTTTATATCATGTGAGTAGCCAAATTTTAGTTTCTATTAATAAAATTGACTAACTTTAAAACAATTCAGCCAAATAAAATTTTAATTAACTAAAAAAATAAACTTCATAACTTTGTTTTTTAGATTTGATTTTACTATTTTACGAAGAGATTTAGTTAATATCTATTTTAGTTTTTTATTTATAAGCTTTTAAAAATCATGTATTTTATATGTTGATTTAAGGATGCCTGCACTGTATCATTTCATATAATTTTGTGAATAGTGAGCATCAGAAGCATAATTTGGACCAATCATATCGCATAATCCGCTCTTTTATTTTGCATTACACTGAGGTCCCTACATTATATGAATAAATCTTGATAGGATCTACGAGCAGGGGACCTGCATGGTAAAAATTCTAAGTTAGGTAAAGTAGTACAGATTTCAACAGTTATACTAGTTAACATCTGATCTAGAAAAGGAAATCTGCATTTGAAAAGATCAGCGAAATAGATACAAGTAAGTTCTGAGCACAGAAGGATTGATGAAACAGATACGAGTAAGTCCATTACATGGGGTCATATAGCAATACCAACCTGGCTTGGCAGCTAACTAGATTTGGGAGGATCTGTCTCATGTGATATCCAGCAGCAAAGCAGACAACACTAAGCAACAGATTAGGGAGGATCTACTTCATGTGATATCTGGAGGTACAGATGACTAACTTAGTAGAAGGCTATAGTAGAAACTGGGTTTGTACGAACATCGAACAAGAGTATATACAAGCTAGATTGGGATATAGCATAGCATATTTGGGTACTACAGCACTCATCGATTAGGAAGTTGGTGAAAGGGTACCTAAGATAGGCCTAGGCTTCGAATCATAAAGTTTGTGGACCAATGTCAGCTCTGTTGATGTCTTCCAAAAATGAAAGTAGTACAGGGTTAGGCGAATTATGATAAAAATAGCTAGTTAGAATTAACATATAGCTAGAAAATTTAAATAGAGAATTTTCAAACAGATTTCAGGTATAGTAGCTAGTGTAGAACTTTTGAGTGGATTACTTAAATTAGACAATCTAAAGTTGTATGTGTGGCTAGTTGTACTCTTACAATATATAATAATTTTCACTATTTAAATCAATAAAATTCGGCTAATGGTATTTGTATAAAGTAAAAAAAAAAAAAAAAAAAAAAAAAAATGTTACAAGCCAACTAAAAAAAAAAAGATTTGTTTTAAAAAAAAATTTTTAAAAAATAAAAAAAGCTATTATTTTAGAGAAAAGAATATAAGTTAAGAAACTTATATTAAAGAAAAAGAAGAAAGGTGAAACTTATTAAAAAAGAGAAGAAAAAAAAGTTCAGAACTTATATAAAGAAAAGAAAAGAATTAGGAACTTATAATTAAGAAAAGAAGAGAGTAAAAAACTTATTCTGCTTTAGTAGAAATAGTAGGGTTTATATAGCTTTTTAGATATTATAGAATAGGAATCTAAACTTGAGAATCTTAATATAGAAACCTAGTTTAAGAATCTAATTTTAGAAACCTTGCTATAGGAATCTACTATAGGAACCTAATTATAGGGACCTAATTATAGGAACCTAGGTTAAAAACCTTAGGTTGGAAATCTAAAATAGGAATCTCAGATAGGAACCTCAAATTAGGCACCTTAGATTAGAAACCTCTAGATGAAAATCTCGAAATGAGGTCCTCTGAATTAGCATCTAATATTATACGAACTCTAAAAAAGCAGTTTTGTTCAAATTAAAGAGTTTGATACAAGTAGGTTATGCTGAGTTACAAAAAGCTATACAGAGTTATACAAGATGTCCTGCAGCTTGTTGTCATACAAAAAATATTTAAACAGTTTAAAATTAATAGAAAAATATTATACTAATAAAATATAATTAATAGAATTTAAATAATAAAATTTAACAACAAACAATCAATCAAAAAATCACTCTTTCTATAGATCACTCAGACCAAATTCAGAGCTAAAGAAAAACTATAGAAAACTCCTAAACTCGATTAAGAAACTAGTAAAACTCCACTAAGA